CGTGAGAGTCAATGTGAAGAGCAGCTCTGGGTACCAGCCTGCCTGACGGTTTAGCTGGTCATTCCCATGTTGTCACGTGGGAGAACAAAGGTCAGGAAATTCCCAGCTCCTCTTGGTGCCGGAGGTGGACTCTAAGAGAGGGGGCTCACGCTGTGGCTCGTGCAACACCTAGTAACTGCTTGTAAACAGTGATTAAAGCTTAGGAGAGGATTCCAGGTACAGGCTGGCTGCTGGGAATGCTGCTCTTCACACTACAAAGGCTGTGCTGGAAGAGGAGGTCACGTTAAGAAACACAGTGGAAGGAAGACTGCAATAAAGGGAGTGTTGCACACACACCCTTTTGTGGGCTGCCCCCTTCACCGAGTCATCCCCAGTATGCAGCTGAGAGGCTGGATGGAGCAAGAACAAACCTCTCCCAGTTGGCTGCTGTGCCTATCACAAACAAGAGTTAAAAAGAAAATGCCAAAAACCACCCAATCACGCCTACTGTCAATCACTACAGTTCAGTATCTATGCAAGAAGTAAAAGGTAATGGATACCACTCTCCAGATGAAATATCTTGGGTGAATAAATAAAACATGGCATTTGATAAAATCTTTGTGTTCTTGGGGGGGTGGGAGGCGTAAGTGCACTTCAAATGGAAACAGTTCTCAGCTTTTTGATTAATGCACCCCTAATTTTTTTTTTTTTTTAAGCTGAAAGTGAAGACTTGCAGACACTGCTCCTAGGTGCAATTCCGCAGCAGATTACAAAGCTTGGTTTTCTTTTTTCTTTCCTTAAATAATCTTTGGCAGATCTTTTCAAGTAGTCTAAGCACCCAGCCATCCAGGCAACACAGACTGAAAACCACTGTCATAGGAACGCAAAGAATGAGGGAGTTTTTTCAAAGCCTCCAACAGCTCTACCCTCCGTAAGAAGCAGGGCAGTAAGAGCACATGGGTTATCACGGTGTCAGCAGCATCCCCGTGACACAGCCCAACATCCAGGGCTTCAGTGGCAAACAGAACATTTGGATCTAAACCATAAAATCCCAAAAACCTTCTAATTAGGGTCTTCCACCAGATTCAGCTGATGCTTCTGAGCTCTAATTCACATCCTTCAAAGCTTTTATAATATCTGCCCCATTCATCCCAAGTAGGGCGACAAAAGGAAAAAAGCCAGGTAAAAGTAACCAACTAACTAGTTACCTGCAAAATATGAACCTCCCTCTACATACAAACAGCTAAGAATACTCCCAGTTTCCTTAAAGTACTCCACAGTTAAATGGATATTTACATTCATCCAAAAAAATAGCGAAAGCCATTACAAGGTCTGCAACAGATTAAGAACCAAGAAAGTGTGTTTGCAGTAACAGGTTACTTTCCAAAGGCAGCTTTATAAAACCTGTTTCTCTAAGGGAGACTACAGATTTCAAACAACTAACCAGCATCCAGTACACACAGGGAGAAAAGTTTCAAATGCACCTACACATTACAATGAATGGTGGTCTGCAATGCTAAAATAAATGAAGACTATTTTTTATTAACAAAACTGGTACCGTGAAAAAGAAATACAGCAGATTCCAGTCTTGCAACAGCCATTACCCTGCGTCCCTCCTCTTCGAAAAGAGAACCAGTATTTGCCATACGTACATTCCCTGGACAGGAATCTATAGGGAAGTACGTGCTTGCTTTATTCTTTGCTACAGCCCAGGGAAACTGGTGAACCTAAGCATTTTTCCATCAGCCAGAACACCTGAGCTGGAAACACAGAATTAAGTTAAATTTATAAGGACCCTTTTTTTGTTGGTTTTTTTCATTTGGGTTTTGTTTTTTTTTTTTTTTTGTGTTTTTTTTTTTTTGGTTTTTTTTTTTTTTTGTGTTTTTTTTTTTTTGGTTTTTTTTTTTTTTTGTGTTTTTTTTTTTTTGGTTTTTTTTTTTTTTTGTGTTTTTTTTTTTTTGGTTTTTTTTTTTTTTTGTGTTTTTTTTTTTTTGGTTTTTTTTTTTTTTTGTGTTTTTTTTTTTTTGGTTTTTTTTTTTTTTTGTGTTTTTTTTTTTTTGGTTTTTTTTTTTTTTTGTGTTTTTTTTTTTTTGGTTTTTTTTTTTTTTTGTGTTTTTTTTTTTTTGGTTTTTTTTTTTTTTTGTGTTTTTTTTTTTTTGGTTTTTTTTTTTTTTTGTGTTTTTTTTTTTTTGGTTTTTTTTTTTTTTTGTGTTTTTTTTTTTTTGGTTTTTTTTTTTTTTTGTGTTTTTTTTTTTTTGGTTTTTTTTTTTTTTTTTTACCTTTAAAGGGGAAAAAAAAAAGTCAGTGAGGATTTTGTAATGTCATGCTCAGCTCTGCTTTGCTGAGCCTGATGACACTTCTCAGTGAACGCCAGTGCAGATTTCCAGATCTCTTCCAGAGATGGTATAAAACTACCTATTTCGGCAATACCATTAGCTTCTAAAGATAGATAAGGCTTGTATTTCAACACGCGCACAAAAATTTAAATCTTCTCATGCCACTCTTCTACAGACTCTCTATGGCCGAGATACACCACGTACACACACGAGTCACATTTGGTGTTCCACGTGCGTGGGCTCATCCTCCCCCACACACAGAAGCCACAGGTAGAGGAGTTTTGCCCAACTGCACGTGATAACGCTGGTGCTAAATGCTGCGGAGCCATCTAAAGTAGGGACATAAGCAGCACAGGATTTCACCCTTCTTTCAGCCACACGCTCAAACAGGCTTCCACGGCACGACAAAATTCAGGGGACACAACACCAAAATATTTTTAGAATTACTATCACCTAAAAAATTCAGTTTTCCTAAAGATAGTAAGATCACATGGATTAATTTTTATTGAAATTGTGTAATTTATACTACTTGTTCTTGGGTTTGTTACAATAATACAAATCACAACAGCCACGCACACCAGAAAAACCTTTCTTCATGTGACAATTTAAAAAACTTATTTTAAAAGTCTTAAGATACATTAACCAAAAGGCTCCATTATAATGATTTTAACATTTACCTCCTAACTTTCATATTTCAAAGCAGCACATTTGCCTTGGCTCTTTTATGACAACCATAAATGCTCCGTTTTACTAAAACAAAATGGTTTTTAAGATATATACTGTTTTATCTTAAAACTTGCTCAAACGCTAAAGTCCAAGATGATCTTCTCTTCAAAACAGATTGTCAAAGTAAGATTTTTACATGACAGCACATAAACATTTCAACAACCTGATGATAAACCAGATTACGGTTAATTGTAATGGGGGGGAAGAAATACTATTTTAGGAAATGGAATGAGCTCCCTTTTAAAAAAAACACATTTAACAAAAAAAATATTATTCTTAAAGGAAGATAGCATGGGGAAAAAATACCTGCTAATTTAGATGTTTTATCCTACCCCAAGAGACATGACTTCTTTTAAAACTGTAAAAAAAGCGTACAGAGTTCCTAGTGAGAAAAGTTTGCAACTCTGTGCTGCAAGCAGCTCAGGAAAAACTCAAAAAAAATCAATGAGTTGAAAAGTCATGCGGACAGCTGATAACAAATGAGTTCTGACAGGTGATCATTAAAAGCCTGGCTCATAACCAGGCTCATCTGAAAAAAAAGAATGAGGACAGATTATCTGCTTTTAATTTTATGTGTCCGTATGCAACAGAAAATGGTGTAGCACATATGCACTATTTTTAAGAACTGGCTCAGAAAAAGAAAGGGTTTTTTTTTTTATATTCTGCTCTTGCCAACTCCAAATATATTTTAACTTTGGAAGCCCTCGTAAGTTATTAGTTCACTATGAAATGCCTTGAAACTGAAATACAAAACAAAGTCAAACACACATAAAGTAAAAGTAAGTATATCAAATCCACGACTAAACACACGCTTCTGACTTGGGGCCAAGGAGTCTGTTGACAGGTTTGGGGTGTTTTGGGGGGTGTTGCATTTCTTTTTAATGAGAAAGGAATGTTGCAGACTTGTAAAACTTTTCTATTTCATCCTGCTCCACAACTTTTGTCCTTCTATTTATTTATTTTGCCTCCTTATCAGATGATTCTGACAATGACTTCGCACGCTGAGCATGGCAAATGATCAAGCAGAAGGGAGAGGAGTGGTTTCCTGCTCCCAAGAGCACACTTTGCTCTAGCAGACCTTGTGTGAGCAGAAGAGCACAATAAATAAGTCACCCTTGGTCTTTTTATTATTTTTTTTAAGAAAAAAAGGCAAAGTTCCATGTTTTCCAAACTTCAATGTTGACACTATTCCACTGACCATGATCTCAGCCATGCTGGTGTCAAGCCAGAGCAGTTATTCTGGATTCATATTAGTGTCTCTAAAGGGACAGTTTCAAGTGCTAATAAACTAATAGAAGACTTCCACTGACATCAAACGGGTTTGAATCATGCATTACAATCAGAACTTGGACTCCGTGATGTTTTCTTTGCCTACAGCTTAAGGTGACTATAGATGTAATTTATCAACTCAGGTCTGTTACGCTCAGTCTATGGTAATTTAAGCAAGATTACAGCACAGCTCCAAAATTTAGTTCCTGCCCGTGTACTGTGGCAAATTTTAATTTGCTTAATAAAGAATAGGATTATGGCCAAAATTTCAAACAGGAAATATTTTCTTTAACTTCAAAATAATTGCCCTCTCCTGTGCTCTCACATCAAATACTGGCCAAAGGAATATTCTCTTTCACAGTCCCTGTTCATTTAACACCACGGCATCTATGCATTACTATTCTATTTGAGGTCTTTTTACTTGCTAATAGGTAGTCTGACAACAAAAAAAAGATGACGAGTAAGTTTCCTCGGAATTCCCACAGTTTCCTTACATAATTGAAACACAAATCACTGTGGAGTAACTTAGAAACACCTAGAGCTATTATTTTTATTTTTTGGTGCGTGAGCGACTTGAATCCTATCGTCCCTGTCTAAGCTGCCTTTCAACCACACCAGGGGAAGCAGTGATTTACATCGGGGAGGAGGGCTCATGCCAAAATCCATAGGAAGTTCTTAGGGCTCATTTACCTGGTCTGACCGGGCTCTGCATGCAGTTCTGCGACACCATGCCTGGATGGACTGAAGTAGAAGCCCTGCTGCTGAGGTCCATGACAGAAGGTGATGCTGAGGTAGCTTGCTGGAGACCTGACTGGTGTGGGCTATGCTCGTGCTGGTTTGGGCTGGGTGGAATGCCATTTTCTGAGAGGAATTCTTCCAGGTCCATGTATTCCAACTGGAAAGTGTCTCCGTCGTATGGCAGTGTCTTGTCCCATAATGTTGGGCCCAAGAAAGCTGATTGAGGGACTGTGGTACTGGTGCTGTCATCGTCTAACTTCTTTTCTTTGTCTTTTTCTTTACCGAATGCTTAAACAAAACACATAATAAAGATATAAGAGCTGAGCAATTAAAATAACAGGTACTACTTCAATTATTTCTCCTGTACTCTCAATTATAAGAAATGGATACTCCTTTCATAAAAATAACCCACAGTCCATTTTTTAGAGAATTGAAGGGTCATGCCAACTGAGCACCTTTCCTGCACCCAGGCAAGTTATTGAGATTTTCCTCTATTTTTAGTTAACAATTCCACAGCAGTCATGGCTTTGAATGTCAGCTTCAATAAGTATTCAGCAGACTTAAAAGCAAGTATTTAAATAGAAACAAACTAGAAGATGTTGTTATATATTCTATTGAGAGCAATCTTATCCTAACTTCCCTGTAATTTATTATACTCTCATGAAGTCCCAATCTTGCTGGTCCTTTCACAAGGAAAGCAGTTCTCAATTTCAGTCCTTCTTAACAATGTTGTAAGCTAGTAACTTATAAAAACAGGTAAGTCTAGCAGAAAAAGTATTCTGATATGCAGAAGAGCAAAAAATGAAAAATTCAAAGGTAGAAGTAAAGCAAAAAGAAAAAGTTGAAGTGATGCTTCCTCCTCACTCCTAACATATCCAGTGATTTCCAAGGGAAACCTCTGATTTCTCGACAAGATTTGCAAGAATCTGAACCAATAAAGCTTCCTGGTAATTACCACACTTTCTTAATGTTTTCTTTTTAACCACAGGCAACAACCCCCGGTGAAATCCTGCGAGCCGCTCCGCAATAAAACTCGGAAAGCTGAGGACACAAAAAAGCCTCAGCTCTGCAACACCTTCTACAGGGTTTTAGTTTTTTTAACGTGTATTTGATCCATTAAAAATACACAGCGCGATTATGCCCGCGCTACCTCGGCTTCCCAGAAAAGTTGAAACTTTTCTACCATTAAAGCGCCGTTCAGTGACCGGGGCAGGTTTCGGGGAGGGCGGCTCGTAAGGGGCGGCTGCGGCGGGACCCCGGCTCTGGCTGGTGGAAGGGGGGTCCCCACCGCCCCCCCACTCCCCAACGCTTTGCCCCGGGCACACGGAACCCATTATTTTAATTTTTCCAGGCGGCCGGAGCCGTCCCCGCGGCGGCAAAACCGAGCGCCTTCCGCTAGGTCAGGCCGACTGCGCCCGTCGTTCACCGCCTAATACCCTCACCGAAATCACCCCGTTACTTAATCGCCTCGGGGAGAGGGGGGGTCGGAGGGAGGGGGTAAAAAGGGAAAGCGAGGCAGCAGGTCCCTGAGGTGACAGCAGGACAGGGGCCGCCATTTCGGGGCGCTTGCCCTCCAGCAGGCCGGGCTGTGAGGGGACCCGCGGGGGGCAGAGCTAGCCCCGGGGGGGTCGGGGAAGCGCGGGCTTGCCCAGGGGAAGCCTCACCGTCTTCGTGAGCGAGCGGCAGCTTCAGCGGGTTTTCCAGCAGGGACTTCAGCACCCCGTAGGTGGGAGGTAGGAAGGTGGGGTTCAGCGGGAGCGGCCGCGACATGGTGGGCTTTGCCTCGGGGCAGCTGCGCGGCACAAGCGGTTCTTTCCCCCTTCCTCTCGCGGAGGCGGTGGCGGCGCCGCTAAAAAGCGCGGTGAGTCGGGCGCGGGAGCCGAGCCCCGCTGGCGAGGGGCGCCTGGAGGCCGCCGGAGCAGGGGCGCGGGAGAGGCCGCTCGGCCGCGCAGCTCCGCCACCGCCGCTCCCGCCGCCCGCTCTGCA